ATAGGCTTCCAAGGGTGGTGAGACCTGGGGTGGATCCAGGGGTGGGGCGCATGGCCCCGGCTGTTCGGAGGCTGACTCAGAGCTGGCCACACAGCCAACCTGATCCCAGACTCTCAGTGGAGCGAGGCTTGTGAAGGAATTGGAAAGACCTGGCTCCATTCTGAGCCTGAAAGAGCCCAGAGGAGAGTAGTGTCCTCATCCTTGAGGCCAAGAGAGGGTAAGACAATGGAGCGCCAGTCAGACTCCCAGCAAGAGAACGCCACGCCTTCAAGTTCTGGTGTGCGCAGCGGCAGCAGCAGTGATGGCCAGAGACATGTGGTCACTGGTTTCTGAAGAAGAGAGGACTTGGAGCAGATATCACAGTGTCCACTAGCCTCAGTGAGCTGTATCTGAATTCCAGCTCCCCTGGGGAAAGGCTGGAGTAGTCAGAATGTACCCTGTGGGTGCAAATGTGCAACCTCTGAGAATTCTTGGATGTAAACTTGGGGGATAACCTTAGAGAAAGACCTGATTTCTTAGTAATATGGGCAGGCACATGCTCAGAAATCATTCTGTCTGGGGGTACTAATGTGGGTGACATGATTTAAACTCCAGGCTGGGAAGCTGAGTAGACTGTTTACCCAGGTTAAGTGCCGGGCACCAAGTAGGTGAATATTAAGTCTAGTTCTCCTTATTAATTCCCATGTATGGGAGTTAAGAAACTTTGGCCACCTGATATATTGACTTGAAACAGATTTTTCATAAGTGTTGTGTCTTGACACGTCCTCTCAACACAGGGTAGGGAAGAGGAAATGAATGGCGACATTTTTTAAATTATATGTACAAAATTAAATCTTCCAGAAGGTTTTGACAATGGTCGAAGGTGTCAGAGCACTTGCCTAGGGACATGAAAGCATAGTAAATATTTAATGATGGTAATTTCATTTGCGCATTCCTCCCGAGGTGCATTTACTCCTCACAATGATGCTCTGAAGCTGGTGCTGTTCTCATCTTCATCATATCAGTCAGGGCCTTCTCAGAAGATGGACAGCGTGCCTAAAAGTCTGGCGGAGGGACTGCTGACAAAAGTGATGACGGGTCAGGTTAAGGGAAGACAAGTGACAAAGAAGGGCCTGGGGCCAGGCACAGTGGGGAGCTGCAACCACCCCTCAGTCGGAGGTTCTGAACCCATAAGCACTGATGCTGTAAGAAAGGGTTGCTCCAGAGAGCTGTGGCTAGAATAAAAGAGCCTCCTTATCCTACAGCCTAAAGGGCAGGGAGATATGTCTCTTTCACCCTCCCCTGTCCTGCCAGTGCCTCTCACTGGCCACATCCATCTGGCAGCCACATGACCTATTCCAAGAGGTAAGTTTTCCAGGGCACGAAGCCCAGTGCTGAAGGGTGGCGAGTGGGTCTAGAAGAGTATCAGAAAATAGTTGGCACATGGTTTCACAGATTAGGAAACAGAGGCAGGGATTAAGGGGACACGCCCATGGCTGTAAAGCAAGTAAGAGGAGGGGCAAAAATCAAACCCACATGCTCTTAACCCCTAAAAGTGGTCTTAACTTTTCAATTTTTAAGAATATTAGAAGATAACCTGGAGAAGCCAAAGAAACAAAGGAGAGAGAGGGAGCGAGACAGGTCACAGGTGAAAGGACTCATCCCCAAAGCATCATCACAACAAGAAGACAGGCCAATCTTAGAGCTATATAACTACGAAAAGACACAGTACCCTCGAGTGACTATGTCACTCATTTATAGCACAGCAAGCATTTATTGACACTTATGTGTCCCAAGTACTGTGTTGGTTGGTTGCTAGATTGATTAAGAAGGATGATGAGGCCATAATGGAGGGAAGTTGCTCACAAGTCTGGCTCTACATTGGAATCATTTGAGAAGTGAGTTAAAACACACACACATGCTGGTAAAAGACTGATGGCTGGGTCTACACTCCAAGGATTCTAATATAGTTGGTCAGAGTTAGGACCTGGTCTCAGGACTTTTAATAGCTCCCCCAATTCTAATGCGTAGCCTTGAGAATCATGAGCAGGACATGACACCTGGATTTAGTGTCTAGGGAATACTGGGAGCCAGCCATGGAGGAAGGGAGAAGGAGGGAAGGCGCACAGACAAAAAGAAGAGGTCTGAATTTAGAGGCCCGTTCAATAGTCCGATATAACCAGAGAGCTGCAGTGAGCGGGGAAATGCAGATGGTCCTCCTATGCCGAGCCAGCCCTCTTGGTATTGGGGAGTCAATCAAGGTTACTAGACAATGGCAGACATGGTCACATCCAAGTTTGTCCCAGCTCTCCATGCACTCTCTCTCACTTCCTGAGACAGATCACTTCTCTCTATAGATGGCACTACAGAAAGGCTTAGTAGACATATAGGCTTTGCCTCCCTGGAAAATAGAACTGCCACAGGATGGAGAGTGTATTCCTGGACTCTCCATCGCAGGCAGCCTTTAATATAGCATTCATCTAAAGATACACTTTTTCTACTGCCTTAAAAAAAAAAAACCTTCTTTGGTAACTTAATTTTATTATGTAATCTTGCTACATCGCAGAATTAATTCCCTAAGGAGCAAGCTGTAGTTCATCTGGAGACATAAGCAAAATTTGGAGGTGAAACCGACTGCCAATTATGACACAAGAAAGTAGTAGAACTGTCACTAAAGACCTCAGATGGAAAACCAGCCCACATGCTGCTCCAGGGACAAATCACTGATAATTCAGTTGACCTGATCACCCTGCTTGAGCATCTGGTTTTGGAGACTAGGTATGTTGCAAAGAAATTTGTAGGAATAAAGATGGTTTGGGTTACTTGGTGGGACAATTGATAAGAACTATTCCATCCTTCCTGCATAGAAAATATTTTTCAAATTAATAGCAAAAAATAATAATAATAAAGTAACTGCAACAAATACTTCCTGAATACTTGCATATACAACGCACGGTGCTGTGCATGCACCATCATCTCATCCATGCGAGGTCTCCAAGTGAGCTGATGAGACGACTGAGGCCGAGAGAACTTTGGTCACCTGACAAAACCCTAGCTAGCTTTGGGACAATGAGAAAACAGGCTAGTTAACATACTTACTAAGGAACATGGAGCAGAGTGAGGGCTAGCACCCTGGTCTCAGACTCTCAGACTTGTGTTTTATATTTCCCACCCCCATGGTTCCTATAACACTCTCATTTCCTCATGAAATGCTGGACTTTTCCCACAGGGAAGCCGTAGAGAAAAAAGGTGGCTTTCTTATTCTCTCCACTAATTTGAAGGGCTCCCCTATTTATCAGTGACTCAGCTGGACAGTCCTGTCAGCCCCAGAGAGAGATGTGGGGATGGAAGAGGGTCAAATACCTGAGCCCTTCTGGTACAGTACATTAATCATTCTGTGAATGCAAACAGTTTAGCAGTTAGACAGGCAGTTGCTCAGAGCAAGGAATGTGCATCCTGCCACTGCTTATGCTTATCTATAATTGAAAAGGACCAAATAGCTTTCACCACACCGTGGAGTGCCAATACTGGTGTCATCAATACACGATTAATTATACACTTGTGAGCAGATTACTAAAGGTTTGCTTTTCTAAGTCACTTCATGCAAAGCTATAATTCAGATGTCATTTTCATTTCATAAAAGGATTCACCATAGTGTGTCTTTAAAAGCTACTTTGGGGGCCCTGGCTGGTGTAGCTCAGTGGATTGAGCTCGGGCCTGGGAACCAGACAATCGAGGTTCGATTCCCCGTCAGGGCACATACTGGGGTTGCAGGCCAGTTCCCAGCAGGGGATGCATGAAAGGCAACCATACATTGATGTTTCTCTCTCTCTCTCCTTCCCTTCCCCTCTAAAGATAAATAAATAAATCTTTTTAAAAAAAATCTACTTTGGCCCATGCACTTAATTTATTATTCCATTTAGAGAGATGTTACTGCTCACAACTTTGTCAGACACACATCTGAATAAAACCAGGTACTCTCCTCTGTCTCGGAATGCCATCCTTGATCCAGACCTGGGTCCTAGGGCGTCTCTGTCCTACAAATCAATGAGTCTTGGCTGAGACGGAATTTTACTCAGGTGGTGTGAGACTTCATTAGGACTTACGTCCCAGGATAAGAGGCTGACCAGAAATGAAGTACCCAAGGCTGAGAAGGGCACTGTGGGTAAACATTTTTAAACAACTGTCATTCCTGGCAGGAAGGCAAGATTTTTAAGCTGGTGATAAAAGAACAGCGAAGACTTGGCAAACTAGATCGTTAGAGGCTAAACTAGACCTGAGTGAGAAAGAAAGAAAAGAAGGATGAGGAGGAAGAAGAAGAGGAGAAAAAGAGGGGGAAAAACGCAACTATTAAGCTGCCAAGTGAGACTGGGTTGCAGAAATACTTCGAGGGATTCTGACAAGGCAAGTTTCCTCCTCTTTATGTAAGAAGTCTTTGGCAAGTGTGGAGGTTCACCAGCCACAAGTCCCCACTTACAAGGAGAGCCAGAGGAGGATGAAATGACCTACTTCCAGACACCTACAGGCTAAACGAGGAATAGAAAGCAGGGAAGGATGCAGCTCCTAGGTCCTGGAGTTTAATTACTGGATTTCCGTTTTTGGTCTTCGACTTTATTGAATTCAAGTTAAGGAACACCCACACGATGTCCTTCTCGTGCAAGGTATGCAGCTAGACAAACCCTGCGGGCGTCAGCCTGAATGCTCGCAGAGGCCCCAGGTCCGAAGTTCGCTGCCCCGCGCTCCTCGGAGCAGCACCACTCACCTGCCCCCACCCAGCCCCCCCACCCCGCCCTCCCCGCCGCCCGCCCGGGCCCGGCCCTCTGCTCTCCCGTGGCACACCCTACACTAGCCCAGGGCAGGTGCGCCGAGAAGAAGCCAATTCTCACCTCGAAGGGAACTTGCACCTGGAAAGCGTCCCCTGGCCCTTTCCCTCCCTGCGCCTCACCGATTCCCTCTAGGCGCCCCCCAAACTCGCTATTTTCGAGAGGAATTCGAGAAGAAAGGCAAAGGGGCAGACTTACCCAACTCCTCTGGGCTGTAGGGCGCGGGAGAGGCTTCCACAAACTCACTGTCTGGAGGAAAAAGAAAAACAGAACAAAAATAGAACCGCGACCCTTCAGGGCGAATCGATCAAACATCAGGTACCGCGCAGGTCCCTCAGAAAAGCGCGGTTTTTCTCTCCCAGCGATCAGGATCCGAGCACCGGGGCCACGCGGGCTCGGGATGCCGGATCCATGAGGGATAAGAAATTGCCAAAGAAACTCCCCGGGACCGAGCGTCTCCAGGCGCCAGGTGCGCGCCAACTTTCCTCTGGCGCGACCCCGCGGCTCCCCGGGCGCTAGGGCAGCGACCTCATGCTCTGCCCTCAGCCCGCGGGGCTCATCGCTGCATCCGCTGGGCCTCGCGCCAACGCCCCCGAGCCGAGAAGCCCCCAAGTTTCCGAGGGCGTCCGGGAGGCTCCAGGGCGCGCGCAGGCGGCGGCGAGCTCCCCGCGCCCACCCGGCCGGGCGCCCCGTGCGCATCCCCGCCGCCCGTTGCTAGGCGACCGCAGCCGTCAAGCTCAGCAGCGCTTCCTCCCAACTCCGGGTTGGAGGGTGTCGTCTCTTCATTCCCGCCCTACTCCCTTTGACCATTTACTAAAAATTAGCAGATAGTCGGTTCTAAATGACTCCTGCTCTTTTGCACTGCGTCTGCCCTGCTTCGATGCTTCGGAAATCATTCGTTCTGTGCTTCTCGTGGGGAGAAGCAGGATATTTAGAGCTTGAATGTCTTGCAGCAACGGAGGAGGAGCTTCAAATGAACCCAACACCCTCATTCCTTATGCACCTAAATTCTGAAATTGAGTCCAGACAGTATTTCTTCTCCTTAAGAAATCACCTGGTTAAAGCAAAGTCTCCATTTCACAGGCAGGGAAATTGAGCCTCGGAAGTTACGTAACTTAGGGATAGGGTCTCTCTGTCTGAGGGGAGCAGAACAGTGTTCTTTCTACTGTATAAAGAGTTGAGCTCTTTCAAATACGCAATATAGAAACAGAAGTCATAATTTGAGAGTCGGAGTTATAGGTCCTCAAGTAATGCATGCCCAACTGTGGGAATCTCCTTCTCTGGGTCAGAGGCCTGAGTAAATGGGGTTGGTGCATTAAGTATTTTCCCCAGAACTAACCGACTACCCTGCCTGGGAGGTCCCTGGGCTTTGGGGATGTGCTCTCTGGGAGAGAGCCTGAAGGAGTTAAGAGGACGGTAGAAACAAGCATGGAAAATGGTTTCCCCTGTCCTTGTCATTGGAGACAGACAATTGGAGCCCATGGCCTGGGCAAACTGCTGGGGGCCTTCCATAACCTCAAAGTGATCAGATCGCCAACTGCTGCAACCTGAGGTCCCCCGGCCTGTGCCACTGTGCTCTAATTCTGCAAACACTCAACCATCTCTGGCTTTCCCATGATCCGCTTTTGGTTCACAAATTACCTTGGAGGGTAGAAAGAAGACACTTTAGCCAGCAACACTCATGGGGAACCAGCCATTCTTGAGCTGCCTAGCTTACCTCTCTATCTTTTTCTCCCCACTCCTGACGATCTGAGCTCCCAACCCCAAGAAATGAATATGTTCGGGTGAATTTTGCACACATCACTCTTTCCCCCTCCCCTTCCCTCCCAGAATCCTCCCTTTTGCACTCCCCCAGAAGTTCATCACCAGCAAAATTCCCAATATCATCAGCCTCTTATCTGAATCTTTCTTTCAATTTCTCACTCTGATCAAAACCTGGCTCTCCTTGAAAATAACAGAGCACATTACCCTACTTACTGCAGCCAACTACAAATCCTTGGGTTATTCTACCTCATTCCTTGAAGATACTAGCATCTCGTCACTGTCAATTTCCCCAATACAATTCCCATGAATATTCTTATTTCCAAGTCTACCTAACAGATTCCTCCTACATCTTGGTCTCTCAACTCTTCAACATCCTCTCCCTTTCTTGATCTCCAACTGTCTCAGCTCTCTGTTCTCATAGTGGCACCATCCAAAAATCTCAATGTCAAGCATTTCTACTCTCCAACCACCACTTCCGACCTTTCTAGCCTATTCTCTTTATTATCTTAATTCAATGTCTCCTTGACCCTAACAGCTCCTGCAATTTACTTTTAGCATGACCTTTTCTCTGTTCCTTACTCCCCTCATGACCTTCCTTCCTCCTATATCTACCTTAGCTTTCATGTTCATTATTATCATTTTGATCTATATACATACTCAAATTCATGTCCCTCTCTCTCCATAGTCTTCCTTGGAATAACCATAACCCTGATAAAGTCTAATTCTTCACTTTCTCTCTGCCAGCATCCAGATAAGCATAGTTGGAGAAGCATACCAGCATGCTTCCTGGACTTATTTTCAGTTTGTGACCATGAACCTGAAGTGGGCCTTAGTGTAGCCCAGCAGTCCCTCCACCTTTGCCTGGTTTACTGACTGTCCTGCTTTCCTATTACTGTGGATGAACCATCTAAGGCCAGCTCCTCCATTGTGGAGCAAATTCTGTGACTTTCCCCCCTTCCAACTTAAATTAATGCTTTTCTCTGTTGTAGGTCATTCCCATCCATATATAGCCATGCTACTATGTTTCCATCTTTAAAAAATATTCTTTCTTGACTTCATCTCTCTCTCTAACTCCCATTCTCAATGCTCAGCCGCCCTTTACAGCAAAATTCATTGAAAGAATTGTCTATACTCATGGTATTTACTTTTTCCTTTTGCTCTTAGACAAACAGGCTTCTAGCTCACCACTCATTCAAAGTAGCTCTTGTCAAGACTGGCCTAGTCAAGTCTTGTCAAGACTGGCCTAGCCATTGCCAATTCCAATGGTCAGTTATTGGTGCTAATAGCATCTTTTGACTCCCTGATCCCATGAGTGGATGGGCTCAGATGGACTTTCTGCAAGATCATTCTCCTTAATTTCCCCATCATATTGAGAGGCAACTAGCCTTTGTACTCTGCAGAGGGCTTTGGGGTCAATCAGGCCCTGGTTCTAATGCCAGCTCCACTTTTAGCTAGTAATGTAATTTTTGCCAGCCTCATTTTTTTTTTGTAAAAATGGAGATAATAATCATACCTAACTCATACAGTTGTGGTCAGAGTGCAATAAAACTAATCTGTGTAGAGGTCCCGGAAGATAAAACGTCACCGTGTGAAGATCAAGTAAATATTAATTACTATTGAATGGCAATTTCTTTTACAGCTAAGAGATGGCTTTTTTCTTTCCTTTAACAAATTTGAGTCACTGAAAAGAGTCACTAACTACAGAGTATGCTTCAAATTAAGGGCAATGTTATATTGTCCCTGACTCTAGAGTTGGCTTGAAGGTTGGTTAGTTGGAGCTGGCAGCAGGCGTTCCCCACAGGAAGCGCCTTACAGAATGTCCCACCCAGCGATTAGGTCTGGAGCCCGCCACCGGTTCTGACTGACAGTGGAGTCCCCTCGTTCCTCCTGTAAATGGATGACTCGTAAACTAAGAGCTTTCCTCACAGCAGTTTGGTTATTTGAATTTTCTAATCAGACGAAGGTGAATGAGAAAGTATTTTTCTTGTTTCAGTATTTGCTCTTGAAAATTTTTCTAAAATATATGATTCCAATTTTCTATCAGAGAAAGCAAAGCAAAAATAATATTTCCTGTTAATCAAAGTAAATATCCGTGGGGAATTTACCATGATGCTAGGACTGTGGGAGGCACCGCAGATACAAAGGTGATTAGAACAGGGTCCTGCCCTCGACTGGTTCACCTTCTGATGAGGGCGTCCCTGACAGGACCTTACTGAACCTCGGGGAATATCCAGAGTGCCCAGCCGTACTTGACGTTAACGGGCCTCTTGTAAAGAAGTGGTTCTGCTGGAGGGTCACTGAATTGTAAATGACACTACGGGAGATGATAGGTTGTAATCACAGCACTGTCTGCTATTAAGCGGCAATCTCAGTTTCCAGCAATAAGCACTTATCTCACTGGATTGTTGGGAGAAGGAATGCAGGTAAAGTATGAGACAGAAGAAGCACAGTGCCTGGCACTCAGTGGATGCTCCTGAGTGCTCCTTTCTCCCCCACACAGCAAGCTCGAGTCTCTCTTTTGATTGTCCTGGGAGGAAAATGAGCTGCCACGGCCCCTGCAGAGAGAAGGAAGGTCCCTCCTCCCACTTCTAGAGCAGTAGTTATGAGCCAGTGGGACATGTGGGCAGGAAGTAGCAAGAAGGAAGTATTCCTGGGACTCAGGTTTCCCATGGAAACAGTTAACACAGGGGCCTGATGGCTCATGTCCACTCCTACCATTACGCTGCTGTATCCCAAGTTGAACGGGGTTTGGGGAGTTAGTCTAGGAGCCCGACCCCTAACTTCAATATTCATATATATAACATATTAAATTACATACATGTTATAATATATGATTCTAAATGTATTTTATTTATATAAGCAAATAATACATGTCCAAGGTAAAGGAAAAAATATTGAGTACAGATAGTTATAAACTGAAAAACAAAAGTCTCTATCCCCAAACTGAAACACCATCCACAGCTTCTTGTGTGTCCTGGTACAGTTTGCTTAGGCATATTCAAATGTGTACGTGAATTTTTTAAAAGTTGGACGTCATGTTATAGATTCCAAATTAGATAATACATTTCTAAATGAAAAATTGGTCTGATGTCAATCAGAAGGTGGGGTTTGACTATTTTCTATTTAGTAGGGCAAAAAAGTGTACAAAACACCATAGAACAAGAGTCTTGTTCTATGTGAAAACAGTAAAATTTGGGGAAAAAATTAGGCATTTAAAGGGTAATGCTTCAGTCATGTGAAAAACCTTCAGTCAAAACCTTCAATCCTCAGCAAATGAAGTATGGCCATCCAGCAATATTGGGTATAATGCCAGAATTCTAGGATCAAGGGTATTCTTAGTTCTATTTCTAGAGCTAAGAGCCCACCCCAGATGCTTTTGGGGGTGAAAGAGGCCTGCTTAGCACAAGGCCCATCACCGACGTCCTGCTTAGTGCGCATGGGCTGCACTGCGGGCCAGGACCCTGCCTACGGGAGTCTGGGAGGCC